TTCTACAATGAGTCGTGGGGCTCAATTCATTCAGGTTTTTAGGCAAGCGATTTGTTTATTTGAATATTTAGTAACTTTGAGAAATAATTAATTTTTGTGTGGATGTGATTGGCATGTGTCCCTTACATAAATAACACTAGGAGTTATCCTACTTCAGAACGTGCATGACCATTTGGTGATCAATTTTACCTTCCATATGGGACACGAGTCAGCGAACTTTATACCCTTGTCTGCTTCTTCCTTCTACAATGAGTCGTGGGGCTCGGTTCATTCAAGTTTTTGTATTTGGCGTTTTGCTCATAGCCACGACGAACATTTCTTGGAATTACTGCCTCTCTTAGGTCAAGTGAGTTGCTTGGATATTTGGCGACAATTTTTGTATCGATCAACCTCGAGTCTGAGCCATTGCGGCTATGAGGTATTGTCTGCTTTGGGTGAGAGACCATATTGCTTTGTCTTTTAGATAAGGCGTCTCGTTCTTGATCCACTGCAAGTTTCAGTTTAACTTACTTGGCGTTATGAATAAACTTGGTTGATATGTCTCTTTTCGTTGGCAATTGATGAGCTTACTAGATTCATAGAATTTTCCTTATCCTTCTACTCTAGCCTTTGTGAGGGATTTTTATTTTCCAGATTGTCTTGAACTGTGTTTGGACCGATCACGCATACGTTATGGACTGAGCCTTTTTTAAAATGTATGGTTTATCGCAATGATAGATAATGATCTTGAATTTGCGACAAAGGCTCATTAATTAAACTGTGATAGCATTGATTCATGGATTATTTTGGTCTCTCTTACAAATAGGGTGTGATCTAATAGTAACGAATGGAGTGTACCTATCATCATGTTTCCTTCTCGATCATATTAATTATAGTCATCGAAATCAATAGTTGGATGAGGGATACTTGAGGAAAGGTAATCTACCACAAGGTTGGGAACAAAATTAAATTTTGATGTAATTTCTTCACAATTTGGAGTGGATCAAATGGGATCTGATCATGGAATTTTGCAGGAATTCAATGTCGTTTCCAACAGACAATGTAACTGTTCAGCGCGGGAACTAGGGTTGATGTTGATTGACGATGTTAGACTCTTTAAGCGATGGTGTTGACCTCTGATATAGTTGTGTGAGGTTGAGTTGTAAGGTTGGCACTCCAACGCGCAAGTCAGTATGAGAGTCCAAGATGAGTGAAGTGAAAAATGAAGATAAAAAATTTGTACCTTGAATTTCGTTTGTCATGATTATATGCGTTGGACAATTTTGATTGGGCTTTGAGTGGTTGGGTAGGGAAAACTTTACCTCATACCCCAACAATTATCCTCCCACCCCTACATTTTTTAAAATATTCCAATTATACCATTTTATTTATTTATTTTTACTTTCTTTTGAAATCAGAAAAATTTGTACCCATACACTAGTGTACTAGAGAACGTCACTTAAAAAAATTTGATATGTAATTTCTCTTCACCAAATAACTTGCAATCAAGTATTCTAGTAGATTATATATTTAGATAAATTGTAATCAAGTATTCTAGTAGATTATATATTTAGATAAAATTGTGTTCACCAGATAACTTGCTATAAGTTTTTCTGTAGGGTTTTTTTTACATAATAGACAACAGTTTGAAAACCGTTGCCAAAAGTGCATATACAATGTTTAGAAACAATGGCCGAAGTGGAAAGATCGCCCAAACTTTGCTAAAAGTTAATTTCATGAGGCACATAAGGCAACAAAAAGAATTTTCTTTACTTTAAACATTGTTTAAACTCATTTTTGTTGTAATCGCCATATAACTTACCTATAAGTTATCCTGAATGCAATTTTATTTTCAAATATAATATGCATAGGATAACTTTATAGAAAGACTTCCGAAAAATACGCAACGATTTTTTTTTACTGTAGGCCACAGTTTTTTAGTGTTGGTTAAAGTCATCTTTGTTGTAGTCATCGGATGATCTAACATAAGTTATTCGGAATACAAATTTTTTTATTTCTTTTTAGCTTTTTTTTAGATATAATATAAGGGTATTTTGGTAAAATCAAATGAATTGTAGGGGTGGAGAGATAGTTTTTAGGGGTAAAATTTCCTTGGGTAGGATACTTGGATATCGCCCGCATTGGGCCTTTGGCTGGCACCGAATATTAGGAAGATCCTAAATTCCCACATTGGTTGGAGATAGAACATTGAAATAGTTTATATAGAGTGGCACCCCTCACCTTACCAACCGGTTTTGTAAGGTTGTGTTAGACCAAATTCTAATATGGTATCAGAGCCTATCGATCGGACCTTGCGCAGCCCACCGTTTACATTCACGCATCAAGTCCAATAAAAAAAAAGGTGATGGGCGTGAGGGGGTGTATTAGGAAGATCATAAAGTCTCACATTGGTTGAAGATAGAGCATTGAAATAGTTTATATAGAGTGACACCCCTCACCTTACCAACCGGTTGTGTTAGGCCAAACTCTAATACTGAACAAGTTCAAAACTTAATAAAATAATTATTTTAAAAATTCATTATAAAATTAATACAATAAGATCAATAGTATACACATGATAATCAAAAATGGACTAGATCATCTAGTTCAACCAATTGGACCGAAAATCGAAACTCTAATCAGTCTGTTTGAACCTAAAAATCGACATGCAAAAGAATCGGAATTTAAATCAGAAAATCGGTTAAAAATCAAAAGTTTAAAGGACTTCTAAAGTCAGAATAGATTTTTCTTTTGATTTATTAAAAATATGATAAACGATTTCGTTTTGAATTAAAATATTGCTTGATTTTATTTTCTTCTTCCTTCACTAATCACACTTATACACAATAACATAGAGAAAATGAATCTTATACAAACTATTATATTCTCTACTCATTTGATTTGATGATGAATGAAAATAAATTTCATATAATAATACATCATACACATCAGATTAATTAATTTATTAATTACTTTATTATAGAGTAAACTGCATTTTTCAAACACACAAAAAGTTTGAAACATTTTAAATAATTTTGCGTTATTTCATTTATTGATAATTTTAAATATTTTCAAATAATTAAATATAAAATTTTAAATATATAAAAGGCTACAAAAAATTAAATAAATTATTAAATTTTAATTATTATAAAATTATTATAAATTATTAATAATTTTTTATATTATTTTAAAAATATAATTATTTTTATACATCATTATTATTATTTAAATAAAAAAATGTTTATTTATTTATAACTAATTGATTCAATCCAACTCCAGTCTAACTTTAAAACCTTGATATATATATATATATATATATATATATATATATATATATATATATATATATACATATATATATATATATATATATATATATATATATATATATATATATATATATATATATATATATATATATATATATATATATATATATATATATATATATATATATATATATATATATATATATATATATATATATATATATATATATATATATATATATATATATATATATATATATATATATATATATATATATATATATATATATATATATATATATATATATATATATATATATATATATATATATATATATATATATATATATATATATATATATATATATATATATATATATATATATATATATATATATATATATATGTATATATATATATATATATATATATATATATATATGTATATATATATATATATATATATATATATATATATATATACATATATACATATATATATATATACATATATATATATATATGTATATATACATATATATATATATATATATACATATATATATATATATATATATATATATATATATATGTATATATATATATATATATATATATATATATATATATATATATATATATACATATATATATATATATATATACATATATATATATATATATATACATATATATATATATATATATACATATATATATATATATATATATATATATATATATATATATATATATATATATATATATATATATATATATATATATATATATATATATATATATATATATATATATATATATATATATATATATATATATATATATATATATATTACTACATTTTATTTCAACTTTAATTAAAAAAATACAGATTAAAAAATTATAATAAAATAATTCAAACCAAAATTAAAAATAACATAATATAATATATAAAATAAATAAAATAAAATACCTAAAGTAAAATTCAATCAATTCAAAATATGTTATAAATTTAATAGAATTATAACCAAGATAAATTGAATAATATAACCAAAATAAATTTAATAGAAAAATAAGAACACTAACTTTAAAGACAAAGAAATGTGAAAAAAACAACGACTGAATGAGAGTTGAAAAATAAATACAAATTATAGATGAAGATAAGAAAAACGAACTGCAAGATTATATTTGAAAAAAGTGTTATTATGATTGGGAAAAAAAGTGAAATTAAAGTTAAAAATTTGTGTGATCATAGAAGAAACAAGGTTTTTTTATATATGAAAAATGTTTTAAGTTTTTATGTTGAAAGTATATATTTAGAAACATATTTAAAAATACAAATAAAATTTGGCCAATTTAAATATACAAATAAAATTTGATCAATTGCATGCATTTTGTTTTAGACTTTCACAAAACTGGTTTCTGTCCATCGATTTTACAGACTAGACCAGATTCAGATCCGGTTTTTGATCCAACCGATTAAACCGACGATTTGATTTTTAAAACATCGGTTGAAACCACTCGGAAGAACTTGTCTCATACAATCTCTGTCTCAGATGATTTTCAATCCATCTTGAAAACAAGAAATTTCAAGAAAACTGATATACTCAAAGACTTCAAGTTGAAGATCCTAGTTCCATTTACAAACAATAATCTATTTGTTAAAAGAAATAGCCACTAATATCCTAACACGTGCCTATCCAAAAATAAAAAATTCCCAAAACCAAGTTAAATATACAATGCAATTCTTGTCTATACTTGATTAATATCACGACTAGCACACCACAAAGGAGATGTTTTCAATGGTGGTGTAGAATTTACAAATGCTTCTAATCTATTCTGAAATTTCACTTCACTTGTCCTTAACAACAAAGGAAGAGGTAAACACACACCCATTTCTACGCACCTTTTATGTCTAGGCTCAATCCTATTCTCTAAGCTAAATGAGAAATATTGTGGAAATTCTTTCACCTCCTTCAAATCTCTCCCCATCTCCACCACAAAGTAATTGTATTTCGGCTCGAAATTATTCTTAATACTATAACAAAACAGTTGAGGAAATCTTCGGAACATCGAAGTTACGTCGCGGTGAGAGAATCCGATGTTCTCAAAGTATTCGATTCGGGGTATGAACTTATCTTCAACACTACATGATAGCAAGTCGGTGTGCTTGTTTATATGTTGTATTCCGATGCTTTGGAGGAAGTACATGGTTGGACGGAGCTGTTTATCAACGTTGCAGATGATCAATCGAGGACGGCGATTTATTACATGCTTGATATTTGAGCTACTTACACAAACTTCGCGGTGAAGGAAAGTGAAGACTGGTATAATGTCTGAGACTTTCGTGGTCAGGATCTCTGGGCACATGCCAACCATTCGGCTAAACTCGATTGCAGAGAAATCCATTGCGGTAATGTATTCCACGGTGGATTTTATATCGTTGAGTGAGGCAGTGACCAGCATCGGATGATTTTCAATAAGTGAAAAAGGATCAATACCGATGGATTCTAGATATAGGGCCTTTTGTTGGAAACCGGTATCGCTGTTGGGAGGTACAGTTTGCTTTGGACATCGCCAATTCACAGTCTGCGGTACATCAGAAGCACAGAAAATTTCAAACTGATGATGATCAATCTATTAATCAGCAATTCAAAATGCAAGAAATAGTCATTTCCCTTACTAAAACATGATTTTAACACGCATATAACAAGAGACCGAAAGACCAAAGAATGTGTGTTATTGCAACCAAATTGAACCATTGATCAAGTTTTTGACTCCCCTATAGATTAGTTTCTTCTTATGAACACTATCTAAAACCACAAAAAGGGAAGCATAAATTCAACATATTCCAATCCCAATTAGCAAAAGACTACGTGTACCATGTAACTATCCTGAAGCCAAGGAATCATCAAACATTTAAAAATGAAAAAGTTAGTATTTTACAACAATTACCAAATGCACAGAAAATAGATTACAGGTGATACTAAGGAGAGTACTTCTGGTACTTTGAGGTAGTAAGTTAGTAGTTGTGCTAGCACACAGATTTGAATCCGCGACACTCCACTTATTCACTTTTAAGAGATGAAATTATGACAATTAGGCTATATGACCACACACACAAAAAGCAGCAAGTAGCAACTTTGTCCAAAACCCACTATGTAACATCTTCTACTAATCTTCCAATTAAATATAGACAAAATTTACAACAACAACCAAGTCTTATCCCACTAAGTGGCATTGACTATAAGGATTAACTTTCACCGTAATATTTTATCCAGGACCATACTTCTATCCAAATCGTTAATCTCGAAATCTTTTTTAATAACTTTTCTTATAGTTATTTTAGGTCTTACTTTACATCTAACTGTTTGACTCATCTTCATCTGATCTACTCTCTTTATCACAGAATCTACGAGTCTTCTCTCTACATGCTCAAACCACTTAAGTCTATTTTCCATCATCTTTTCTACTAAAGATCATCATTTTTACTAAAGGTGCTACCCCATCACTCTCTAATATTGTCATTTCTAATCTTCATAGTTGATCCATGTCATAGAGATTCTACAAAATTTTACATTGGTTGTCGACTGTCAAACACGCAACTCTCTCCTTTTCTCCTGGCTTAGGACCGACTATACATAGCAAAGCTAACATTGCAATTTCACCACTATCAATAAGTGAATACCATAAACCAACAGCAATTTAAACTATCAATCAGATTTCAGCACTCTCAAGTGACCAATTCCTCACCCAAAAAAAAACAGAAAACTATATCCTTAATCCTTACATAGGGAAAGCACACCAGTGTTCAAAAATAAAGGGCATGACCAAAAAAAAAAATATAAGTATAACTATTCTGCTAACATTTCTTTAAAACCTTGCCAAGGGACTACCTAGTACCAACAATGTCTTAGGATAATGTTTTATTGCAGAAATAAGCAGAAACAGATAACAGAAACCTAAACCATAGCATTATTAAGCAGAGACCCAATAACAAAACCCTAACCTAGGGCATTAGCAAACAGAGGCCCATTAACAAAAATGAAAAGCAAAGCCTGAATAAGCAGAAACCCAGTAAGAAAAATGAAAACATGAAGATAATAAAGGAGAAAGAAAACTGACGGTAGCTCTGACGAAGAAGGAAGGTGGTGTGGAATGGAAGGTTAAGGAAGTGGGAACCCTAGAATGAAAGGGTTTGCAGAGGCGAGTGAAGGATTTGGGAATGTGATGATCGGTGGAAAACAAGGGTGTTGTAGCAGTGGCAGAGCACATTTTGTTGTAGCAGTAGCAGTGGCAGTGAAGGATTGGAATTGAAGAAGAATGAGGTAAATTAATGGCTGCGAAATATTGAAATTAAATTGAAAAAAAAAAAAGAATAATAGAAGATTTAAGATGTGGGAGATTGGAGAGAATAGAGATGATGGATGAGGAGATAGAGAGAATGCATGCGTGTCACTTCTTTAGGGTCCACTGACTCTCTTTCTTCTCTATATTTTCCACTTTCATCAATTATTACAAATTATACTCTAAATTTTAATATATTATAAGAAAATAGTTTTAAATTGGCTTAATTGGATTAAAACATCATTAACCTTTTAAAAAATATTATAAGAAAGAAATTAAGTTTATGTTTTTTATTATAAATTGGTATGATACTTTCGAAATGTAACTATCTTTTAATAAAATATATTAATTATACATAAAAATTTGTTTTTTTTATTGATGATATGAAAAAATAATTTTTAAATTGAAAGGAGAGAGAATATTAAACGTTGGAATGATATATCTATAATATATATTAGGATTTTGAAGAATATTCAAAGGAAGAAGGGTGAGCTTTAAACGATCTCGATTATGATCTGTTGAGTTTGCCATGACAAAAGAAAGGGAAAAATTTTCTTACTATGAGGTCAGCTCGATATTGGGTGGTTAGGGTAACTCTTTCTAATTTCATAATCGATTCAATATTGTACTGTCAAAATTTCTTACTTAACGGTATTTGATGGTTAAGGCGACTCTTTCTGCTAAAAAAAATTTGAGGATAAATTTAACTTCGACTAAATAATGGTCGTCCAAAATGTTTTTCCTTTAAACTTTCTTCGGTGTAGTAAAAGAGAGAATGATGGTATGGACAAACATTTTAACATCAAAGTCAAAATAAGACATAGAAAAATGTTTTTAGGTTTTAATAAAGGTGTGTCTTAATTATGACACTTTACCATTTTTATAGATAAATTATATGATTTTTGAATGTCAAAACTTTTTTCAAAACATGTGTCATAATATTACTTATTATATTATCTAACGGTGTTAATTTAATCATGTATTTAGATTAAGTAGGCTCTTAGGGATACACATGGCATGTTCTCACGGTTTGGTGTCCCTTCTTTCTTATATTGTTTTTTCTCAATATTTTCAATCCTACGATATTCCACATTACGTTAGATTATATTTTATAAGGATCTATTTTTTAATTGGTCGATGTTCTCCTTGCATTAAATAGGTATAAACAAATATAAACATAGGTTAGTAGGAAGTGGTACTTTTATTTTTTGTTTAAGTTGTTTCCTTAAGATGTCATTGCTAAAATTATAATGAGTGACAATCCTTATCTATGTAAGATTTTCTTAGGGTGTTAGTGTTGTTATAATGTTAGGTCAAGTTCACGGAAGGATGGTGAGAAACTCTGTATATATGGGATTGATGAGCAAACTGAATGACCCCCTCAGCCTTATGGTTGAGATATTTATATGAACTTCTTCGTCCTAGATCTTAAGATCCAAGAAAGAAGTTATAGTATTCTTCTCTCTTAGGAGTGTGGGAAGTGAGCAGTTATTCACCCTATTATCATGGAGTATATGACATTCCATATTTGACTAAGATTCAATGATGTTAGTGCTTTAGGACACATTAATTCCACATTGGGAAAGGAATAGTTTTATCCAAGCTTATGAGGTGAGTGATTTGATCAAAGGGCGAGTGTATTGGACAATAGGTAAACAATGTGATAAATGGTTGCATGTTGCGAGGGTTGGGCTGCTAGACACCCTAGTTTGGGTAAAGTGTACCATTTGTATGTCGTGAATCTCGTGTCTCCCTCTAGGAATCCTTCATGAATATACCAATACAAATATCCCTTGCAAATATACTAGTGCGCAATCTCTCAAGTACGAGAACTTGTACAGGAAGAAGTGATTTTGTCTTGAATTCCTCTACAAAACTTTAAGTTGAATCTCTCATGCGAGACTCTTAAGCTGAGTCCCTCGTGAGAGACATTTAAGTTGAGTCTCTCAAGTAAGACTTTTTAGTTGAGTCCCTCTAGTGAGACTTTTAATTTGAGTCCCTTAGGAAAAATTGTTAACTTTAGTCTCTCAAACGAGACACTTAAGTTGATTCCCTCAGACGATACTTTTAAGTTGAGTTCCATGTTCTTGGAATGAGACGTTTATTCATCTCTTTGTGTTTTTAGGCTACATGGGGTAGTTTTTGACATATGTGATACAAGCCTTCCCAATTAGGTTGTAGCTTCTCTAGTTGGGATGACACGATAACCTTTCCGAGTACAAAGTCGCCCTTTTGCATTTCTCTTGTAACCACTTATGATTTGTACCTTTTGGCCACTATTTACTTTGTGGCAAACTCCTTGATGTCGGCGACATCTCGTGTTATGCCAATCAGGCTTACTACACACCTAAGTCATGTCTTGTTTTCTTCTTCGTTGGATTGAAAATGCCTCCAAGTGGGAGTATCAATTTCAAAAGGCAACATGGTGTCATTGTCATATACCGTTGTAAATGGGGTCTCTTTTGGGGTTGTATGAGGGTGGTGTGATATAACCACAATACTTTGTGGAGTTGTTATTCCTAGATCCTTTTGGCTTCATCCAACTTTTTCTTTACCCCGTCTAATATCTCTTTGTTCAGTAGCTCAGTTTGTTCATTCACCTATGGGTGGATGACGAAAATGAATTTCTTCTGATAATTCTTGGAAAACCAAACATGCACATGATCTGCTGCAAGTAGAAGTGGCAAATTTTTCTATCATGATCTTGGAGACGACCTCAACTTCTATCTATTTTGTGAAATAGTATACTCCAACAATCTAGAACTTCAATTGGCCAGGAGCCAGCAAAAAGGGATCTAAGATATCTATGCCCCATTGGTAGAATGACAAAGGCAGCATGACATAACAAAGGATCTTAGCTGGCTCATGATGTTGATTGGTGTTCTTCTAGCATTTGTCATATTTCTTAATGAATGTTGCTTTATACTTTCATCAAAATGGGTCGATAATAGTCTGTCCTTAGCTATTTATGGGTCAGTGCTTGTCCGCGAATGTGACGGCCGCATGTCCCTTGGGGTACTTCCTTGAGGACCAAGGCGATTTCGTGTTCTCCTATACATCTCATCATGGGATGGGAAAATGTGAAATTACAAAAATCCCCTTACATTAGACCAAAATACTGCACAGATATAAATTTTTCACTCTAAAAAACACTAAGGCAAGTATGAAAAAATAAAGAGAGAAAGAGGAGAGTGAGATAAATGTATCTCAAATACATTTTCTGGTGTGTTAGAAATGAGAAATGAGTCATCTATTTATAGGACAAAAGGCTACTGAAATATGGAAACAATTTGTGGATTTTTAATGGTTGGTAAATGGTTATGTATATCTTATAATCTATTATCAAGTCTTAAAATGAAAGGTTTTCAAAAGATACTAATGGACTATTTACTTTGATAATTGATTATGAGGCGTTATAAAAAACAATAATCGATCATGTTTAGGGGATAATCAATTATACAACATAAAAAGCCTTCATAAAGAACTTTTTGAGTTCTTAAAAAACTAGTTAGGAACAAAAAAATCGATAATTTTCATAAAAAGAGATAGGTTTTTAAAGGGTTGAAAGTGTGTGTGATTTGCCTTAGTAATGTTGAGAGTTAGTCATATACCTTTACAGGCACTGATCACTCAATCTAAACTTTGTGAGCTTTTACACTTTCTCTCTTTCACATCTTTGAAACTTTTGGTTCCTTGCCACATTATCTTTGACTTTAGCATTTCACTTAAACCTTAAATTTTATTGTGATGTGACATGAGATAACTCTTCAATATAAACACCATCATCAGACACACTGTTTGCTCAAAAAAATTTGCATACTTCACCGAATGTCGTTCGACATAAGGTGTTGCCCTCCAGAGATAGAGATAGGTGTACCAATACTCAATATCTAAGCAATATAACTTGATCATAATTTGATCACCAGAATAACCGGGTTTGGTCTTCAAGATAGCACGTCAACTAGATCTCTAGATTAGATGACCTTCGGGCATTTCAACTGCAACTGATCAACATAACTTGATCATCTTGATTCTTTAAGCTTCATCACATCCTGATGAACTCAACATATGTCACTTAAAACTTCAAGCATCGTCACTTGATTAACATATCAAACACCACCACTCGATTAACATATCATATGACATTATACGTACCAACAAACCTTGAACAATAAGATTGATGAAGACTTTTTTTAAGAGCGTTGTCAACATCAAAGTCAAACTGATCAATGCATATGTCGTAGTTGTAAGTATATAGATTTACATGAAAATTATCTTATGACAATACTTGAGTTGAAGACCTCTTAACTGTGAGACCACTCTCGATCTTCTGCAATCCAGAATTTATGACTTTGTATATGACCTTCTCATAATGGAGTATTTCCAACTTTAGACCTAAGGTCTGGAACAAGCATTAATATAATTCAGAAGATATTGTACAAATTTCTTCAACCCAAATATTCACATTTTTAACATGATGCGAGAGAGAATGTGGAGAAGACTATTTTGAAAATTGAAGAATGGAATTTTAAGAAATAAATAAGAGAATAGGGGTATTTTAGAAAATATCAATAATTAATTTATGTCAAAGAGGGTGTAAACTGTAATGTCAGTGTAACGACATAAATCATCAAATTTTAGTTGAATCTTTTACTTCAATCGATTATGTTGTGATCACTTGTTCGTTTTTTATTTTTTCTATACTGAAGAAATAATCGATTATGGGAAGCGATCGAAAATCAAAGAGAACAGCTTATTCTTCACAATCCGAATCTGAAGGTACTTCATTTTTCCTCTACACAATTCAATTTCTCCTTTCCATTCGCCGTGCAGCACTCTTTTGCTTTATCGGAGGAAAACAATTAGGGTTTTTTTTTTAATCTTATGCATTTAATCTTACTCATTTAGCTGAAAACTTGATTCACTAGTTCTTCAAAATAGGGATTTTTTCCGCATATTATTATTAATTTTGTATCTTAATGTTAATTCACAGATGAGAAGAAACACAAGAGGAAGAGAACGGTAGATGATGAGGAAAGGAAGAGCAGGAAGAGGGAAAAGAAAGACAAAAGGAAGGACAAGAAACATTCCAAAGATAAATCTGATAAGGGTACACCGTTATGTGTTTATTTATGTTTGGTTCAAGCTCTTCGGCCCTGTTTGGATAAGTAGCTCAATTAAGTGTGTGTCTGGTTTTGCGGTGAAAAGAATTGATTTTGGATGAATTGATTCTAGCTAATAGTGATTTGAAAGTAAAGTGATATATGTTTGGATAAATTTATTTAGAAGTGAGTTGATCAATAAATTTCAATGTAAAAATCACGATTAACGTCAAAAGTTACAAATTCGAGATTCGAATAGAATCAATTCTAGAGGCAGAATCAATTCTATTTTAGAAGAACCAAACACTTTAAAATCATTCCAAAATCAATTCTACATTTCTAGAAGAATTGCTTTAAAATCATTCCAAAAGCTAAACCAAACTTACACTAAGGACTATCATAGGATTACATGCTTGTTAAAGTCAAATAGGTTTCGTGTAAGCTATAAGCACTTTCGATAAGCTATCCTGAAGAGGTTACGGAAATAAGGTGAAAATAGCTTATAGACATGTCATAAATTATTTTCATGAGCTTTCCAAAGAGTCTCTCAAGTGCCTATACTAGTAGATTTAAACTCAAATTAGTCGGTTCAAAGATCCATTTATAATTAGTTGGTCAATATATTTCGGTGTTAAAATATACTTTGTTTCTATGTAGTTGCTGCAAGACTAAGAAGTCATTTTTATTATGGGACTTAGATGCATATTTAGGTCTTGGTTTGATTTTCTGGAATGGATAACGAAGTTCAACTTTGTTAGAACTTTTTATATTAAGTCTTAAATAACTGAATTTGATGAGAATACCCAACCTAGAAATTCAATGGATGGTAAATTAGTAACTTCAAACTTCTTTGTATTTGTTTGTAAGTAATGTTGTTTTCAAAGTGGTTTAGGTTGTGATTGTTTATATAATATTAGAATCACGCCTCTACTTATCAGAACTATTCTAAACAGAGGAACATGATATCTATTCCTATCTTTCCCTTTGGAAATATTGATGATGTATGTTTGATTGAATGTATTAAATATCATAGAATTTGGGTTAGGCTTAACTAACCTCAGATGCTCGCTCAAGGAGTGATCATTGTCCGACTATTATAAAGAACTAATTTGATTATATAGTTATTCTCAATCTCAACATGCCCTTTCACGCCTGGTATAGGATACTTGAAGTGTGAAGTTTGCAAGACTACACACATATGGTGGCCTAACAAATTTAGGTGTTGAGAGTTCCACATTAAATAAAATATGGCCTGAAAATGTGTTTAGAAGTGAGAGGTCTCCCTTACTTTAGAAACCCGTTTTTGAGGGTTGAATTATGTCTAACTCAACTTTTAAGATATTATCATAACATATTCAAGATTTGTTGGGCTAATCACTATCGGGTCATGCTCCAAATGTCAAGTCTTGTGCGTGAGGGAAGAGTGTTGAGAGTCTCACTTTAAATGAGATATGGCTTGAAATGTGTTCATGATAAACATCTCTCACCTTATAAAACGGTTTTGTAGGGTTGAGTTAGGTCCTATTCAAGTTTTAAGACTAAGATATGCTTCAATTAGCTGCAATGAAGGTAATCTAGGACTTTCTGTGATCCATCAAAAGATGAACATTCAAGGCTTATCCAATAATAAGGGAATTTGAAATTTTCAGTTCAGATGCTTTTATTAGTGTAGCACAAACCAAACATAATATGGAAGAGAAACATATTTGGGGGAGATTTATTAGATAAGAAAGAACATAGAAATAGAAGGAATGACAAGGGAAGAAAAAGGACAACCAATGGGAAGAAAACCTACCAATAAGAAACTGCCACCTCAATTACAATATATCCCTTAACCCATACAAATGTCATTCCGATATCCTAGATAACTTAATCACTATGGCTAAATACCCCGTTGAGGTCTCACATTGACTAGCAATGTAGCCCAAGTAATCTTTATAAGGTTGAGTTAGACCAAGTTAAATTCTAGGATGGTACCGAATTTTGAAATCTAGGAGACCCTGCTTCCATATAGGAATCCTCACTGTCTTTATCATAGTAAATCCTAGATTATCTTCCTTGCATCTAGTCGAAGTTTTATCTTTGTCTTAAAATTTGGGTTAGGCCTAATTCAACCTTACAAAACCGGTTTATAAGGTGAGATGCCTCTTACTTATCAACACATTTCAAAACATATCTGGAGAATGTGAGACTAGGAAATAGTATTTTGGAAAGTTTATTCGCAACTCCCATTGTTTGGTTTAATACTACTAAATATCCTCTTAAAGATGCAAGAGACTTACAAACTAAAAAAAAAAGAAAAAAGTCTCATTAACAGCTGATGACAAGAACAGAGAGGTGGAATGTTTTTATGGAAAATGAACACATTTTTGTTTTCATATAAATGTAACAAATGCTTTCTTTCTCAATAAAGACTTTCCCCGTTTTTTTACCTTCAACACTATATGCAGGCAAAGAAGTATAAATTCTCTTTTGAAAATTTTTACTTTTAAGTAATTATAATAATGATACATCATTTTATATTGACATTCTGTTGTCATTTCAGAGAAGAAATCAAAAGACAAGCACAAAAGTAAACGCAGCAAAGGTGAAGGCAATATGGTGAGTTATGATCCCATTCCCGATATTACTAAAAATGTTACTGTCCAGTTTTTTGTATTTAGTCAGAAACGGTGATTGTTGAGATTACTTATTCAGTGGTTCATTGGTATTTATGGCTTCTCTTTATTTCAAATGTAGGATTTTCAAGAATTGTCCAGTGATGACTATTTTGCTAAGAATAATGAGTTTGCTACCTGGCTGAAAGAAGAGAAGAATGTGTTTTTCTCTGATCTGTTATCAGAGTCAGCGCGTGAGTTGTTTGCAGAATTTGTGAAAGCTTGGAATAGAGGAAAGCTTGAATCGAATTACTATGAAGGCATTGCAACTGCGCCTCGCTCATCCCATAACTGGAAAATCAAAAAGTAGATTTTGCTGAAAGAGATGTCATTTTGACCCAATCGCTATAGACCCTTTGTTTAGAGTTTCTTTCTAACAGTAACTAACAACTGACTTGAGTTTCTTTCTAACAGTAACTAACAACTGACTTGAAACTCAGTAATTATAGATGTTGTTTAATCTGCATAAATTACACACTTGTATCAATCTTTGAGGATCAGTTGTTCATTGTCCCAAAAGGAAAAAAGTGTAAAGAACAGAAAACAGATGGGGTTTAAGAAAAAAAGTAGAAGATTTGGTTTATGATTTGCAGAGTGATTTCCAACAATGTGGTAAATCATAATGTTTTAGCACTAGTGAGACTAAATTTGAAAAAAAAAAAAAAAAACAGTTTAAAATTGAAAATTGAGATAAATAACCATTTTGCGAACAAGTTGATTATTGACTGTTCTGCCTCAGAAGGAGGCAGATTGGATGAACTTGCTATTTTGTGGAACAATTTGATTAATGTTAAAACAAAAACTTACTATTTTGTAGAATGATTTGATTAATGTTACAGTAAAAAAGACTTTTTTTATATGACCAAGGCTAAAAAAAAAGAAAAACTATTCTCTAACTATTGGCTATATACACCTCTTGCGGACAAACATCATGATGGACGAATCTATCTTGTTGCTTACTGCCCATTCTATCCAACGTATTTGCTCAATAATTTTCTTCTTTAAAAATATGGATTAGCTTGGATTCCTTGTATAAAAATATGGATTAGCTTGGATTCCTTGTATCAACCTATGGCCTACTATACCGTATGCCTTGTATCAACCTATGGCCTACTATACCGTATGCTTCGTATGCTTCTCACGTGTTAGCGGAAAATTTTATTCCATACCTCTACAATTATTCTAATACTTTTATATAAAAAAATTGGACCAAAATATTCTCATATAAATAGATATATTTCTTAGAACCCTTGCATTTTTTATTTATGCTGTGACTTCCGAAAATCACAAAATATATTCTCCAAATCGGAACACTTCAGCAAAGACATCTGGTTTACATTTTATTTTTCGGAACACTTTAGCAAAGATATCCGGCTCACATTTCATCTCCGGAACAGATAAAGTAAGAGTTCCAGATTGAAATATTTTAATTTGTTCACCGAAATTCATTTTGAGTCTTCCGGTTTGTTAAAGTGTGTACCGGAAGACTTCTCAAACGTGTTTCGGTTCAATTTTGATTGCATTTCGGAAGAGTCATGAAATGACTTCCGGTATTGTGCTTGTTGACTTCCGGGACTCATTTGAGATGTGTTCCAGTATTGTTTCACGTTACTTTTTTTTTACTTTTTTTTGTCTGTTTATTTTCACGTTACTTTTTTTTTCACGTTACTTTTTTTTACCTTATTTTTTTTGTTTGTTTATTTTTTCAGTGGTGCGAACACGAGGCGCTAGGACATCAGGAGGTGTTTTAGAACGTGACACTTCATCGAGATTTGTTGATGAAGAAGAGTATATTGGTGCATCCGCATCCGCAACCGCAACACCGTCGGTTGGCTATTCAGGAGGGCCTTACGATACGTCTTTGTTGGTTAGATACGAGCAACATATTTCTAGACATGTATGGTTTGGTGAGGTAAGTAAATGACATGTATTTGATATTGAATAATATTTGAATTTTTAATGTTGTGTTTTATAATATTCGTACTTTTAATTGTTTTCAGGAGAGAGGCCCGAAGAAAGAGCTGAAGGTTGTTGGACATGGGCTGAAGCTTGTAGCGAGGGTTCCACAACAACTTTCAAGAGAGATGGAGCGTTGGGTTTCTAGGTCTGGTCTATCTTCACTCCAGAGAACCAGTTTGACGAAAATAGACACAAACCTGGTTTCCGCATTTGCGGAGAGATGACATATAAAGACGTCTTCATTTCACATGTCGTTTGGTGAGATGAGCATTACTCTGGATGATGTCTCTTGTCTACTTCATTTGGCCATCAGGAGAGTGTTCTGGCCCCCGCAACATATCACAAAGGCGAGTGTTGTTGGACTTGTTGTTGATTACTTAGGAGTGTCACAATATAGGGCGCAACAACATGTCCGTCATTGCAGGGGTTCTTACTATAAGCTAGAGTGGTTATACGATTTATTCAAAAAACATATAGTTGCTTCTAGATGGGAATATGCGACCATAGTGTATTTGCTGATGTTGGTGAGTTTCACAATTTTTGCCGACAAGACCTTTACGCTTGTCGAGGCCCGATACCTCATACTATTTACGAACCTGGACAAATTATCAGGATTTGCGTGTATGGAGTCTGAGTAGACTTAGACTTTTTGTTGGGTGTTAGATAAGCTTAAAGAATTATTTGTGAAGAAAGATTTGTGTCCACAAGTGATTGTGACAAATAGAGATCTTGCTTTGATGAAAGCAATTGAAATTGTGTTTCCAAGGTTGATCAATTTGCTATGTCGATTTCACATTAACAAAAATGTTGGTGCAAAATGCAAGCAATATGTGGTTAGTGACATGCAAATCCTGATAATTTGTCCAAGCCCATAAATAGTAGGAGGTATCGTGCATCGACAAGCGTAAAGGTTTTGTCGGCAAAAATTGTGGAGCCCACCAACATCAACAAATACGCTTTGGTCGCATATGCTCATCTAGAAGCAACTCTATGCTCTTTGAATAAATCGTATAACAACTCCAACTTATAGTAAGAACCTTTGCAATGACGGTCATGTTCTTGCGCCCTATACTGTGACACTCTTAAGTAATCAACAACAAGTCCAACAACAGTTGCTTCTGTGATATGTTGCGGGAGCCAGAAAACTTCATGATGGGCAAGTGAAGCATACAAGAGACATCATCAAGAGTAATGCTCATCTCACCAAACGGCATGTGAAATGAAGATGTCTTTAGATGTCATCTCTCCACAAATGCGGAAATCAGGTTTGTGTCTATCTTCGTCAAGCTGGTTCTCGGGAGTGAAGATAGACCAGACCTAGAAACTCAACTCTCCATCTCTCTTGAAAGTTGTTGTGGCACCATCGTTACAAGCTTCAGCCCATGTCCAGCAACCTTCAGCTCTTTCTTCGGGCCTCTCTCCTGAAAAAAATTAAATGTACGAATACTATAAAACACAACATTAAAAATTCAAATATTATTCAATATCAATTACATGTCGTTTACTTACTTCACCAAATCATACATGCCTGACAATATGTTGTCCGTACTTAACCAACAAAGATGTGTCGTAGGGCCCTCCTGAACCCAGCGGTGCTGCGGATGCAGATGCACCAATATACTCTTCTTCATTAACAAATCTCAATGAAGTGATCCGTTCTAAAGCACCCCCTGATGTCCTAGCGCCTCGTTTTCGCACCCCTGGAATAAAAAAATAAACAAACAAAAAAATAAATCACGTAAAAAAGTTTTTTAAAAAAATACCGGAACATATCAAATGAGTTTCGGAACTCAAAAAACACAATACCGGAACTCATTTCATGAGTGTTTCGGAATGCAAGCATAATTGAACCGGAGCACATTTGAGAAGTCTTCCGGTAAACACTTTAACAAACCGGAAGACTTTTCAAATGAGTTTCAGAACACAAATTAAAATATTTCCATCCGAATCACTTACTTTAATTGTTCTAGAGATCAAAATGTGAATCGGATGTCTTTGATGAAGTGTTCCGGATTGAAGAGTATTTTTTTTACGTATTTCGGAAGTTTTTGACAGCGTAAATGAAAAGTAGAATGGTATATACCTATTTATATGAGAGTATTTTTGTTTAAATTTTTTTTATATAGGGATATGAAAATAATTATAGGTGTATGGGATAAAATTTTCTAAACAAATCCAGTGTTCTGTTGGGGAGTTCCATTTAACATGTATGCAGATGTTTTAATTGTTAGTCACTTTTTCCTGTATTCCTGGAAGCCTTTGTCCACTCCAAAACCTCACATCTGAACTATATTGATACTAATATGTTACTCCCCATTTAAAATTTATTGTTACTTTAACAAATAAAACTTTTAAAAAAAATGAAAACCACAAAGTGGCTTTTTCCTTAATACGTAGTAGTAATTCTTTTGTTCAGAGAGCAGCTTGTATCTATGGTTATCCCTCTAATAATCATAAGTATTGCAGTTGTGAATTTTCAATCCAATTGATCTTAGCATCACTAATATGGTTATAAATACAAATTTGAATTTTATTGGTGACGTCCACCCTTGGACTAATAATCAACTAATAAAGGTTAGGATAGGTTCTTTGCCTCCTAATTTCCCTACATAGTGTAATAGGTACTGTTATGATATATAGCTCTGATCATTATCCACAAAACCCTTTTGCAGGAACCAAACTTTAATGTTTGAAAAACCGAACATGTAAGGAAGATTGTACTAGAATAACAAAGGAAGATTAGAAAAAGAGTGGTAGTATTCTAACTATGAAGCCAGACAACACCCTTAATAAGCTGTGTTCTTAGAGAAGCAAAATATTTGGCAATGTTCTCGGAAGAATTAAACATTCAACCAGAATTGGATAATTTGAATTATTTATGCGATAGTCCATGTGCTACAGAACTGATTAAAACAAAGAAATATTTTTGAATGAGATTTTTAAGTGTGAGGAAAGTTGATGGAATCAAAGAGTTAGAGTTTTGTGGCTAAAACAAAGGTTCTGATTGATTTTCAAAAAAATAGGTGTTGATGATTATTGAATGTTTTGATTTTTATTCAAAAAGAAAAGGTAACAGTTGTAAATTTTTAAGTGCAAAACTAGCAAGATGGAAAATATATAGATAATGAGCAACCAGATCATAAAAGGAAAAAATAAATTAGAATGCTGATCAAAAGTGATCGACATGTCATATATTTAAACAAGCTAGGTTTGTATAGTAGTTCCGATGGCTTTGGAGAAAAGTTTTCCACAAGAGTAGCTCACAATTTGCCAGTGCCATCACAAGTCATCATTATAAACCCATCTTGAAATTCAATTAAACTCGACTATGAAACAAACACCAACTTCGGATGGATTCTTCATTGCAAGATCATTCTACTTCACCCAAATAATCATCAATTTCAGCTGGTGTCAATACCCTGCAATATAATTAATTAACAAACTATTAACATGGGAAATCAGGTATTCAAGTCAAATATAAGAAAATTAATCTTTTTACTTACAAAATGCATTAGGAAGTTATCCATTTGCATTGGTAAAAGGATAAAACTTAGATTAGATTCTTTAATATTTTTGCAATCAGATTTATCAAGCAACAACTTAACATTGCATATTTTTCCCAATGTTAAATAGCCTCCATTAAAAAGATATATAGTAGAATATATGAAGAAAAGGAATATACATGCCATTGATTTCAAAACTTGGTGACAAGAAACAAGAACTTCCAGACTTGTTAGGTAGATTGCAAGTTCAGTATTTTGATTTACGTGTATAAACTTTATTTAAAATATAAAAAAATTTTAAAAAAAACTAAAAAATTAACAGGTTTGTCTAAATTTGAATTAATTTAGTTAACTTTAATACTGCTAGCTTATTTAGAAATAGAGTTTTTATTATTACTATTCTTTATTAAATATAGTCGCACCCAATCTATCTCCTACTGTTTCCATTTCATGCATCTCCCCTTTCCATCCTTGCCTAATTGTGGTTGTAGCGAGTGTTGGGTGGATGGGGTGTGCCTAGCAGCAATGAACGCGGACAGTACTTGATGACTGTAGAAAAGTGTTTTGTGGCTATGGCAACAGTGCTGGTGGTGAGCAACTAGAGGAGCAGTTGGGGAGTGTTAAACAAAGATTGAGGGGTGTTTAACAGCAATCAATAAGGGATATCACACACTGACAATGGAGGGTGTTCCGTGACATGGCGGGAATGTAAGGTGGTAACAATAGTAGAGACTGTAGGGCAACAAAATGTTGCCGGACAACAGTGGCTAAAAGTAGTGACTCTGCCCGGGAATTTCTAACTTCAAACAATTTTTGAAAGTGAAAACCAGAAAACTGAATATGATATTGGTTTTTAAAATTTTCAAAACTAATAACCAAACTGAGCAAGACACAACGAACTTGATCTAAGTTTTGTTTAACCTTTGGTGCAAGTGTATAGCAAACACACCATAGTCTTCACTGGAGTTTCTATTTTAACTTTCCACTCCCAACCGAATGTCACTTTCCAACACCTTATTTCCATTAAATTTTTGGGACGCAACTTATCCTGTATTTCAACATACTTCTAATTTATTCATTCAGATTGGCCAACCAAAAGTTTAGCTCAACTTGACCAATGACAGAACGTAGAAACCAGACGAAGCAAGGTTCAAATAAATAAGTACTTAAAAGGTAAAATAAAAAATAGAAAAGTCAGCTAAATTATATTTTAGTGAACGAAGATACCTGAACTTTTTGTCAGCGCCAATTATGCCAATTTCAATGTTTTTTGCTGAGATTTGTCCCTCAAACCTAGAAAACGCCAACAAAAGAAAACAAAAGGAATAGATTCAAAGACTAGGAAAGATCAGATAGTTTGCAAAATACAGTAAGGTAAACAAGAGAATAAAAACAGAGAACATAAAATTTGTCAATGAAAAAATATTAACAGTTATCACTCCCTGTCATTTTCAAATTTTCCAATCTAGCAAAGCTACCATACACTCTATATGGCAGGAAAAAACATTTTGATCGAATGAAAGCAGAAACACAAAATAGTATAAACTTATTTTAGCCTCCTAATTGACTGTAATATATGATATTTCACTAAGGTTTTATTCAATGCATAAACTTTAAATGGCATTCTCCTACCCTTCCTTCAGTGTCAATATTGCTGTGTGAACTGCATCATCGAGCTCCATATCATCCGTGTACCTACAATTGGAATTAAGAAAAAATTGAATCGATAGACATTGAGGTATAATTGTAATCAACGATACTAACATCCAACATAAATGAAAAGTTACTACCACCTCTAAAATTAAGTTTCAAACTGCGTAATGGACACAACAGACATAGACATCATACATTGATACACTGTATATTTACCTAAAATATTATCATCATTTATCTTAAAGCATACCTCTTTTCAAGAAATGTCTTAGCATTAGAAACATTTTTCCCCATTGCAGAAGCTTTCCAAGAAAAATATGAACCAGATGGATCAACCTACAGCAAAAACAAATTGACCAAAAACAACCTTCAACTTTCCCTTCTTTCTCTAAAACTGCATTAACTCAAACATTTCTAAGTGCAATAACCCCTCAAAAAAATATAAGTGCAAGAAGAAAAAATCCAGTACAATCCTCAAACAACAATATAAAAAACACTCTGCACTTCACCAATGAATGAATATTGTCTAGACATTTTACATGTACAGCATATCATACCTGATATAGTTGTGGTCCATTATCATCAAATCCAGCAACTAGCAAAGACACTCCAAAAGGCCTAACACCACTATCAGAGCAAAAACAGAAGTATTAAAATTCCAAAGATAGTAAAGGAGGAAAATGTAAAGAAAAAGGGGCTGTTGAGTATAAAAATAAGCAAGAGGGTCTAACTAAGTTCACTGCACTAATTTAGAAATTCATTGTTGAATTCGAGTAGGAACCAAATTTTTTATCAAAACAGTTAAGAGTTCCTAACAGTTGCATCGAAACTAACTCATGTCACTATCATTGGATCGACAAATACAAGTTCGTTCAGAGTGGAAAATGTTTCAAGTTTCAGACACTTGTCTTGGACTCATTTCAAATTCCCCTCAACATTTAATGATAATTGACGTTTATTGTGAAATGATCCCTCAACATTTAATTTAGTTATAAAAATCAATACCTATTAACTTTGAAAAGCATCACAACGGATATTTCATGTTGATTGGAATGGATAATTTGGCCCTTTTATTGTTAAAAAAGTAATCTTAAGTTTAAAATTAAAGGGGCTGAAATGAAACTGTAGTTGGAAAATTCTTGTGAGAGGATAATATGAAGGACAAGTTGAAAGAACAGGATACGTGTAGAAATTACGGAATTTACCAAAAACTCGAAGTTGATGATAAAAGTAAAACGCTAATTTCTCCTTGATTTGAGTCTTTTTCACTATCTTAATTTTTGTGTAGTTGAATGACATATATACATACCAAAAACTTAAATGAAATGAATAGATAAGGTAAAAATTCAGCTGTGAAAGTGCAGACACTAAAAAACTGAGTTATTACCCGGACTGAGTAAATTCCTGCATAACTGCGGCAACTTCCCTTACTAGTTGAGTGACAGGGATTGGTTCCTGCAATTTTAACTTACAATATCAGATAGCCTACTTTTAATAAAAGATCCATAATAGAATACGAAAAGATAACAAAAAGACAGGTGGACTAGAAAATGTACATTCACAAAGATAAAGATTATCAATAGCATAAATTGTGTATTTTTTAACAAACACGGTTAAAAAGTACTTGGCACTATCCAGAAAAAGAAATGCTCTATGGAACATGTTATCAATGTGTAACAACCAACACTCAGAATACATCCCCGCAAGGCTGTAACAAGAATAATTAAGATCCCATGGCTGAAGAGGAAATGTGTCCTAACTCATTCAAAGCAATAGGAAATAAGGGAATCAACATACTACATATGGACGGACATGTTATGCTACCAAATAATATTTAAATAATAAAATTCATTCCAATTTTAAATTCCAAAGTGAAGATGATAGCATTATAACTGAAGCATATTGACCAAATATAGGCAGAAAAGGAAGAATACTGCAATGTAAAATTATATACTGTACTTTATATAATCGGTGATACTGCTCAGCCTGTTTCCTGCTTTTTCGTACCAGAACTCGGAAATCAGGACCCATGCCACTGAACAACAAAGGACAAAATTGAAGCCAATTAAATTAAATATCTGAAAACAATTTAAAGAAAAATAACCAGTCATATACGAAAAGCTCAAGAGTAATGGAAAATGCAGGCTACTAATAGACTACATGAAGTTTCAAACACAAAGCAAACATCAGATTTATCTTATATAAAGTCTAAAGAAAACAGAGAAAAACATTGAATATAGCTTTCAGCAGTCATTTGCTATTATTCATTTGAGAAACTGTTTGAAAGAGTTATTAGAAGAGAATCCATTAGATCATTCTTAGTGAGAGAATCCATTGTTAAAAAACTGCTAGGATGTATCATTAAGTAGAATAAGTTCAACTGATCTGTTAGGGTTTGGTCCATTAGTAAGATTAGTTAGCTAGTCTTTCAAGCTCTTCATGAAATACTTCAATTCTAGTGGGGAATCAGTTTAGTAGGGTTCATTGAGTACTTCTGATGGTTTTGTAAACAAAAGGAGGGATCTTTTGAGAAGGGAAAACCCTTGGATAGAATTCTCTGTTATACATTTAGTTTTCAATAATACACTTCTATTCTATCCGTCATTAATTTCAATTTCTCCGGGTTCCTACTAGAAACTTCAATGGCATCTATGAAGCAGCTATTACAGTACAACAAACCAATAACACTGTAGAAATATGTTTTAACTTAAACATGTATGAAGAAACAAACCTGTAAACAACACCAATATTTGGTGTTAATAACTGAATTTTCTGGACCTGCAATCATATGACAAAAAGTGTTGGACTCGGAATGTGTCAAATCTCAAACTAATGAAATGAAATGAAAAAACAAATATCTTCAAAGATTTTTTATAAAAATAAAGTAAGTTCACAAGAAGCTTGTAGAAACTAGGTAAAAGATCATGGTTTATCAGTGGCCATACCGGAAAATGTCCTTAATTATCCAGATATAATAAGAACACTTTCCACTTAGCAAATACTATTCAAAGAAAAATTAAATAAAAGCAATGTGGCATACTATATTTTGAAGTACTTGGCCTACACATAGAAGGTTTTTTAGAAAAATTGAGAAAACAATAACAATTTAGAAAAGGATGTCGAATGATTTATTGGGATGCAGAAAAAGCATAAGACAAGAAATAGCACAACCTTATTGATTACAACTTTTAAGAGGATAAATTAAAAAATAAATAAAAATTGGTCACATTCATAATATACAAGAAAGAAAAACGTACTGATGATTCATCAACCAAAATAGACGGCAGTTTCTTCTCTGTTGCAATGACAACTCCATTTGCAGCTGCATGAACCAAATACATAGTTACAAATAGCAAAAGTTGCAGACAATATTACAAGAAACAAAACATCGATACAAACTCATGGAGTTAGAAAGGAAATAGCACAAACTGCAGACATCATTGCGGATCTTTGCAAACAAATGAGCCCAATGCAAAGTCAACAAAGTATGCCAATAAGATACCAGAGCATAAATTTAACCGCAAAATAAGAAATTTCCAACTGTAGCCTCCTCCAAAACCTACTGATCCCTAATTTATAAATTTCATATAGCACGTTTATCCCTAAACTTTTCCTCCACGCCATGTCAAATAAACTTACACGGCCATAAAGAACTGTAAGCCTTCTTTATATAAATATGCATAAAAAACCAACAGTGTACCCATATATCAGAGTTCAGACAACAATCATTGCAGATTCATTTGATCAAATGGTTTCTGATATGAAGGATAAGCAATACAATGCGAAAACATTCGCTTTAATGTTAAAGGGAATGGTAAGTTACATGTTATGTTTACATTAACTATCGCATTTCTTTCGATAAAATACTATTAATTGGTGAAAGGATCATCTCCGATGAAAAATCCTTTTGGATTGGTAAAATCAATTTTACAAAATCAATTTTTGCCACTTTAGAACCAAGCACGCATGTACTCGCCTTTGTCATAACTGAATTTTCAGTTCTTGTATCGATAGTGCTAGCAAATGATAATTATATTGATCTATCTTTGTTACTATGCTATGCTTTGTTGGACAGATGGAGAAATTTGAGAAAGAAATCAGAGAATCTAAATTTGCAAAACTGATGAATAAACACTGTGCAGCTAGTTCTGTCCCTAAAGGGATTAATTGTCTCTCTTCGCGCTTAACTGATGAATATTCATCAAATGTGCATGCACGAAAACAATTGCCACAGCCGGAGTTACTACCGATGCTCTCCGACAACTCATACCACCATTTTATTTTGTCAACTGATAACATCTTGGCGGTTTCAGCAGTTGTTGCCTGAAAACATGGTCTTCCATGTCATCACCGACAAAAAAAAAAAACTTACGCCGGTATGCACTAAATCCTCCCTCACCTGCTATAGTTGAAGTCAAAGGCATTCACCAATTTGACTGGATAACTAGAGAAAATGTTCTGGTACCTGAAGCCGTAGAAAGTCAAAATGGAATTAGGGATTTCTATCATGGGAATCATCTCTTGGGAGCCAATCTCACTAATACCAATCCACCTAAATTCGCGTCAAAATTGCAGTCAAGAAGTCCAAAGTGCATATCTTCACTCAACCATATCCGCATATTATTTGTGCTGATTGTGTTTGTCTTGTGTGTGTTGAACAGCTTTTTCCGAACCTTGACAAAGTGGTATTTTTGGAAGACGATGTTGTCTTTCAGCGTGATTTGTTTCCACTTTGGGAAATTGATATGAATGGAAAAGTTAACGGAAACTTGCAGAGGTGAAGATGATTAGGTAATGTGGAAGCATTTTTCCTAACTACTTCTGTCATCCTATCATAGATAACTAACCAAACAAATCCAACATTTAATGCTCCCCCTAGTCACACACCATTTCAGAGCCAACCCCATTACTCTAAAAGTGATTGAAAAATAACCCTAAAGCAGCATGTACAGTAAAGAACAAAGGGTCAAAAGCAAAAGCAGATCCAATTACCTTTAATTCCAAGCGAAGTTTGTCCAGAGCCAACAGCAGTCAAAGCATGCTCAATCTGAACAAGCTTTCCAGAAGGACTGATCCATAACAAAACAGAATCAGTTCAAACATACAAAACATTATCAATCAATTAAATCAACACAGAGAGAGAAAGAGTTATAAACATACCTAAATGTTGTAAGAGAAAACGAGTATTGACTATCTCCCATGATAAATCTCTACCAACACCACAACCTAACAATCACAATTTCAACAAAGAAACACTATAAACAAAGGGATTTTCATGCAAACCCTAGCAAATTGTTTATTGTTCAAAATGTGAAATTTGAAGTGCGTATCGTGGGAAAATAGAATTAAAACAGAAAACAGTAAAGTGGAAATTGTTGCGATCTATAAAGAAGAAGGAAAGGAAAATAGTGAGAAAACGAAACTAACCTGAGAAGTAGAAAGAGAGAAAAGAAAGAGTGTTCTCAGAAGTTTGGAGGTTCGTTCTGTGAAATTGGAGTAAAATGAGAGAGAAGAAGTAGGCAACAAGTCTAAAACACGAATGGGCCTTGGGCTTCATCCTTCACTTGTTGCTTTTTATAGTTACTAGAGATGGTATATGTAATTGGGGAGGTGTGAACATAATTTTTTATTTTAGTAATGTTAATATAGAATTCAAGATATTTATTATTATTATTATTATTATTATTATTATTAAATTTTTTAATAATTTTAAATGATCATCCTACTAGCTCGGTGAGTAAAGGATGTTACATTCACAATTTTGGAAGACATAGGATTGTTTTCAAGAAGTTGTAATCGATGCTTGGTCAAAACAAATGCGCCAACATGATTTGTGTGATCATCCTAGGAGAAAGAGTGTAAAATGAGTGGATTTAAAATAATTTAAAATATTTATTTTTATTATAATATTTATTATAAAATTTTAATAAACGTGTACGTGGGCCGATTTAAGTTGGGTTTGGTCAAATTCAATCCTTAATTTATATAGGACACTCTAATTTGAGAGGGTTTAACTTCTCACCCTCAGGGTTGTACTTGACATCCCATATCATAATTTTCAAATTGTCTATAGATAATTTTAAATAAAAAATGCAAACGAAATTTTCAATAGTTCATTCTAAATTTTTGATAACAAATCAATTTTTTGTGTAAAATTTGTATCGGTTTTTTTGAAAAATAACATGCCAAATTTTTTATAAAAAAATTGGTTTTGCCTTATTTTTTCGGATTTTTAAAAATTTCGGTAGTTCATATTCAATATACAAAAAAGAAATTAACATTACCGAAAATTTTAAAAAATGTTGTAGTTTACATGAGATTTCGAAAAGTGTTATAGTTTACATGAGATTTCGAAAAGTGTTGTAACTTATTAGAAAATTTGAAACTTTCGGTAAAATGTAAAAAAAAAATCAAGAATTTTGATTTTTTTTTTTAAGTTGTGGTATTTCTTCAAATATTTTCCATAAATATTCATTTTTTACAAGAAATTTTAGAAATTTTTGATAAACACACTAGAAAATTTAAAAAAATAAATTATATAGGCCTAAAGGTATAGCAACATTATGTGGGGTGTCAGCCTGTCAGGTTTAATTGAGGGGGTGGCAATTTAAAATCTCTTAGTTTGGGTAAGGTACAATAACCAAGATCAATGGTCCAGTTTGGACAAATCTGCTAATTTTTTTGTTGGGTTGGGTGGGTTGCCCAAATCATTTTTTCTGCCTTATTAATACTAAATAACCCACTAGATAAGAATACTCACAAATTAATAATTTTAAAATCTATCCCTCCTTCAATTTGAATCAAAATAACCATACACATTGGCATTCATTCTTATGTTATGTTGATTTGACATGAGTACTCCATGGTCAGTTGTACCTCTGATGTACCTTAAGAACCTCTTTGTTGCAAGTAAATGACATAACCTTGGTTCTCCATGAATCTACTAACCAGTCCAACACTATGACAAATATTTGGCATTATATTGCAAAAATACCTTAATAATTCAATGATCTACTTGTACAAAGTTCTATCAACCAGTTCTTCTTTAGATTATATATTTAGCTTGTAAATTCATCTTACATCAATTCCTTTCTTGCTTCAGTTCTCAACCAGCTACCATGTTTGGTTTTTCTCAATGGCCTTGAGTTCCTCAATCATTGCAGCTTTCCAATTTCCATCCTGCGGGGCTTACACATGATTAATTGGTTATAACTCATTCATCATTGCTTCTTCAATCAACTAATGATGTTTCCTGATTTCTTGATTAGGAAATCTCTAGTAGTCATTCGGCATGATTAACGGAGCTTTAGTTCTACTTGATATTCTCACCTTTTGAGTTTGTGCAGGCTCAACGGGTGCATGTTATTCCTCACATGGTTGTTTTGGAACTACAATCTTTAGAAGTTCATACACCATCATCTTTATATGCATCAGGCTAAAACTCCTAAAATCGAGACGACCAGATCTTTGATGCCAAATCAAATTGTATTCTTGAGTTGTGGTTGATGCAAGACATTGATGATCAAGCATGTTAATCGTGACCTTGAATGTCTTATTGGTTGACAAAGGTACCCTCAAAGTTGGCATAGACATTTCATCAAAGATCTTAAGTTCCCTTCCTTCTAACTTCATTGTGTAATTTTTGTGAAGTAATTGGCCCTAACTAATAAAGTTACTTACCGTTGAGGGAACATAAAATACATCTCTGATGGTAAATTCATGTCCATCATTCTTTTTCACCCAGATGTTACCCATTCCCTTCGATGTCATCGTGTTGTTGTCTGCAAAACAAATTGATCTTCTAATTTATTCATCCAACTTGACAAATTGTTTTGTGTTGTTTGTCATATGATTGTTGCAACATGTATTAAGGTGCCACATATTCACTTTTTTGAAGACAAATGTGTTGTACCCATTAAGATGTCATCTTCAGATTCACTGCTAGCATCATGAGTAAATTGAGCCACACCCTCGTCCTCATCATTATTCTCGTTGTAGTAGCAATCTCAAGCATAATGACCAAACTTTTGACGGCAATAACATTGAACCTCTTTCATGTCAACCTTCTTTTTTACTTTCTAATTTTAATTTGCATTATTCTTACTAGTTTCACCATGGCTTCTTGAAACTTACTGACATCACCATTGTCCTTCAACTTCTTCTTCCATTTTTATTTCACGTTGTTATTGCTTAAGGAATTTTCTTTCATCTTCTTTAAGAATTTTGCTTGCAGTGCATGTTAAGATACCTTTTTTGAACTATTTGCTTCAACTTCATCTCATGCGCCTCAAAAGATGCGTGTAGTTCTTCAAGTTTCATCTTTGACAAGTCTATAGATTCTTTAATTCTCATCACAATGTGATCAAACTTTATTGGAAGATCCATAAACGCCTTTTCCACCTTCTACAATTCACAGATATTTTCTGCGCACAACATCATTTGATTTATCAAAGTCATCATCTTTGAGAATAACTCAACAATGGTTTCATTATCTTTCATCTGCAAGTTTTCATATTGCTTCCTTAAAGATTGCAGATTCACTTTCTTTAACTTTTCATCTCCACCATACAACTTCTTAAGAGTATCCCGAGCCTCCTTGGTTGTTTCTAGCTGGATAATCTTCTTAAAGATCTTTAAATCCACACACTGATGAATCAGAAGTAAGCATTTACCATTTTTCTTGCTCACTTCACGATGAGTAACCTTTTGTGCCTCAATAGCATTTGCATCTAATGTAGAAAAATCATCACTCACGGTTTCAAGCACATCTCGAAATCTTAATACGACTTTCATCTATGCACACCATCTATCATATTTTTCTCCCTTGAAAATTGGTAGATTGTGTCGCAATTGCGAAAAACAACCGGCGAAAACAAACAAAAGAGTCGCCACCGAACGTTATTCATCTCAAATAAGGGAAAGGAGATGATCGAAGAAGACCTAAAAGAAAGGAGAATACAAGGTCATCACAACCAAATATTGGGTTCGGGAGTCAGTTATGCAAAGGGAATGTATTAGCACCCCTCGCGTGCGTTGTACTCAACGGGATCCACGCTTGTTGTCTAATCAAAGTGTGAGTTATCTAAAATCTACTGCTAAACGGAAATGGGAAAATAAAAAAGAGACTCGATAGAACATCGCCACCCTATGCTTACGTATTCCCTCGTGTAATGGGAAATTCAGAGTCAATGTAGTTTGAAAAACTACAGGTGAAGGGAGGAAGGTTGCTCGCCAAGACATCATCGTTTTGTGCCTACGTATCCTCATTTGATATGAGAAATCAGAGCAAACATAGTTCAAGAAACTAATTGTTAAGTGTTTTTTTATGAGCAACGTTAAGCTCTCATTCCAGCAGTTAGGATCGATGTCTGTTTGCGGTAGAACAGACAAGTAACATACTCTTTTTTGAAAATGAGTTTGAAACAACAATCTGTCATACCCCAAATTTATCCTACCTTTTGCAAAATTTTCATTCACCCGATTTTATTTTTCAATTTGCATTGCTTGTACAGATTAACGTATTTTTCACTTTTTTGTCCAATAAATTTGTGACACGTGGCGTTTTTTTATTTTGTTATTATTTTATTTTATTATTTTTGCTTTATAATTTAATTTTTTTATAATATGTAAATATAATATAATTTTAATATTATTTAATTATTAGCTTAGATTTAGAATTGAACTAAAAAATTTATTAGAATATTTAATTATATTAGATTAAAATTTTAATTAGAGTTAGAATTTTAATTTAATTTAAAGTAGATTTTTATGAGAAATTAGGGTAGTTTTATTAGGATATAATTAATTTTTAATTATTGATTAGAATTTTAGTAAAAATTATAAATAAATAAAAAAAGAAAATTATGAAAGAGAAAGGACACGGATGAGATTGATTTGAAAATTTAGGGTTATTGGGCTATAAAAAGGGGGAAACCTATACTGTTCATCGATCCCAATTTTGAAAAAAAACCTAGCCGCAATAACTTTCTTCTCCCTCAATGAAAATCCGCAACTTCACCATTATCCTTGACATCTTCTCCGTTTCATTCTTCATCCCTCACCACTACCTTCCTTTTGTTTTCCATCCACACATTTTTATAACCATCACCATTGAACCTGCTCTCTCATTTTAGAGATTCAAAAAATACAACCATAACCACCATAATCATCACCTCTGAATCTCTCTTTCGACTACCTTCTC